AAAATCTGAAAATGATTGATTAATTAGTGACTGTAGTATTGTTGAGTATTTTTTTATTATTATTCGTGTATTAATAAATAAATTTACATTTGAAAATGTGCTAATATATAAGTAGAATAAATTAATATGTTCTAATATTATTTGTATAACTTCTACGAATATTAAGAAAATTTATTATTTATTTTATACTTCAATTACATTATTTCCCATATATATAGGAGGACAGCTGCTTCTTTCCATAAGGAAGGTTATCAGCCTCTTTGCTGTTTCAAGTAAATATATAAAAAAGATAATAACATCTAGTAATAGTGTTGCGACAAAAAAGTTTTAGTAACATATTTTTTTAAATTTTAATGCAATAGCCATCAAAGTCTATTAATATTAATGATGCTAAAAAAAAATAACAACAATAACATGAAAGCTAATTACTCCTTCTAGCGCATACCTATTGCAAAATTAGACGAAACGCAGTGTAGGTGAACTTAAATGTTTAACAGATCGCAATCATCCTTTAAAATATTGTGAATACTTGTACAAAATCATTAGAGGAAAAAATTTTGAAAAAAAAAACCTCTCATTTGTCCTGTCGACATACCGTAAAGGTTTACCTAATGCTTGCGACAGTCTTAATGAATTTGACAGTCTCAATTGCAAGTTATACTCGTACCTGGATACTTTAAATCATATAAACATTGACAACATTATGGTGTAGGAAATTTCATAAGGCACAAAGGGTAATAAATTGTAATCTGGTGCATGCCGTTTGCAGTAATGACAGCTAACGGGATTCGGTATGGATTAGCATGCGATTAATGATTTTGATATAAAGTATTCCTGTTCCTGCTTAGTAGAGTTTTTTACTTCCTCACTAGGTAAATTCATAAACTATTTATGTTGAATTCTACAAGAAACAGTTTCCAGCACGTACGTGTTAACGTGCGTTGTTGTTTTGATTTAAAGAGTAAGATAGTGACTGCTATATCTGACACATGAGATAGGAGTGACTGAGCCGAAAATGACTCTATTAGTTCTTTTTCGTGTTTGCATTTTATTCTTTAAGCGTATGTGCCAAAATATTTTGCGAAATCTCTAAAGGCACAGTGGTATCTGGTGGACTGTCAGCTTATTTGCCATTCTAAGTTGTATAAAAAAAACAGATTTTATGAAAATATTTATTAAAATATTGCAAGATGGCGTCTTGTTTCAGTGGTATAGGTAACTATCCCAATTCCTTTAAGGGAGAGAAGGAAGAAATTGTTAGTAATGCGGACTATCATTCCCATTGCTAGCAATATACCCTGTCAGGTCCTCCACGTGGTCCTCTCTGAAAAACTACCTGCCTTTCCATTCCCATCTATCATCCTTCACTGGTGCCCCGCCAGCGTATATCGTTAGTGTTGGCGGGGTTGCTATTTTATTATTATCCATAAAAAAAAACTACCCAATTTATAGATCGCAAATGTCATAACCCAAGTTCAAAAAGGCCGATACTGATTTTCAACTGTCAATTTAGAAAATTGTATTTTCTTACATTACCTCTTTTTATCCCACCTTATCCCATATCATATATATATATATATATATATATATATATATATATATATATATATATATATATATATATATATATATATATATATATATATATATATATATAAATATCAAGTTCACAGACTGTCTTTGAACTCTTTATATTATAGTTGACTAAACATCCCGTGTTTATTAGCATAATAACCCTAGTTATGCAATCGAATGATAGGGTAATGATCTCAAAAGGGGCAATTTTCACTGTGTCGGCCACAGCATACTGCCCAATGCCCGGCAATCATGTATAATTGCTATGTTTAACGCGATAAATGTTAGGTATAAAATAATTTGATAACTGTTTGCTTGCTAACATCTTGTATGTTTCATATGTGTTATTATTATCTTCAATTTCGATCTTTATTTCGTAGCTTCGTGCATCGCGAATTATTTTAACAGTTTTTTTTTGTTTATCTCTTGGTAAATGCTAAATTATATTTTTAGTACAAGTAAGCTTACTGTTAGAACAAACAGTAATTTTAGGTATCTATTCAACAAATATTATAAATGTAAATATTTGTAAAAATGTTTGTCTGTTTAGGAAGATATTTGACCGTTTGTTACTCAAGTACATCTAAAAGGACCATATTTGAATTTGTCACATAGATGGAACATGAATTAACAAATTCTAATTTATTAGAAAAAGTGGTAAGATTGTCCTTATTATTATTCCGTGTCTACAAAAAATGAAAAACGTAGTATTTAGCCGAATTACAATAAATTAAAAGTGCTTGCATTTGCTGTGTGTGTATATTATACTATTACGCATGTAGTATAATTAATTAAATTATTGCTCTAATTATTTATTACTGTACGTTTATAGTATCTTAATAATTAAATTATACTACATACATCTGTCTATGTACTTTATGAGTAAATAATTAAAATAAAATGCTATGATCTCTCGATATAATTGTCTATTAGAAGGGTAGAATTTTAACATTGATCGGTCTTATGTCTTCCATATATTATTAATCTTAGGTCCATTCTGAGTCCTAGGGCTATCTAGGGATCGGTGTATTTGTAATGAATAAAAGGTGAACGGATTGTATCAGAAAAAAGATATAGGACAAATACCGTTTATCAAATTATAGTAATTAGAGGACTAGCGCACCTGCGTCACTATTTAATAGCAAATTTTATTGTAAAAATACTATGATTTTGTGATATTTAGTTTTTCCTTTGCGTATAATCGTAATGTAGTCAAAGTGTGAGTCAAAAATATTCTTAGAAATAAGAATATTTTTGACTTCTAAAAATATTTTTGACGTAGTTTGGAGGTGTACAATAATAGAAATATACAGAACAATGTTCTTACCTTTTTGTATTTTTCCATTTTCCAGTTTGTGCATTATTCTTTTACGTAAAATAGTGATAATTTTTTCATAGTGTGTTAAGTGCGTCAATAAAGAATCATAAAAATTTTGAAAATTGACCCCCAAAAGGTATAAATTTTTCATGTTATCCATTATCCTAAAATATTGATTCTATTTCACAATTAGTGAAAAATTTATGTGTAAAAATTTGCACGCAAACGAAGTTGCGAGAATAGAACTAGTAAGTAATGGAATGTACTATTGATACAATAATAACATCCCTAGCGGTATTTCTATCCATGATTTAGTTTGTGGTGTGATCAATAAAATGCAGGTAGATCATTCAATAAGGAAGTTGTGCAGATGTGAACGTGTTCATCGCGTAGGCCTTTTACGTATCCTACACCAATAGCTTAGGTGTGAGTCGCTGCGGTCGCAACAACAACATGGGAATCATGCCGGCACAATTTACGTTACCGCATTAAAAGTACTGTTATTTTCTTACCGCAAATAAAATAAATACAAATGGTGAACTTAATCCAACAATGATCGGACTTATCCGCACGGAAAAATGGAGAGAAACGAATCAATTCCAAGCCACGATTTCCTATGGTTAGGATTCCAAAACGAAGGGAACCAGTGAACGGTATCGGAACGGTTCAGTGAGTGTAGACTATGAAATATTTTTTTCGTGCTAGTGAAAGTATAGACGAGACGAGTTCCCGTGATGGTGACCGTAATGTCAAGTATACACGCGACGTGACGCGTCAAGAAATCCACGTTCCGCGACACAATAGGACAATGGTTAACCAAGCGCTTCACTTCTTCGTTTCTTACTGCAGGTTGATTAAGTACTAATTAGCAATTAACAAACGCAATACGATCTCTTCGTTTGGTGTAATGATTGCGAATTATCAAAAATAATGCTTCATATAGTAGAATTTTATTAGGAAGTGATTAGATTGCATCTAATCGCTTTGTTTGTCTTCAGAAAAATAGTGCCATTAGCGACCTAGTGTTAATTGATAGAGTTATTTCGTAACAGTATTTTTTCTTTTCAATCGTTTTGTTTTTTAATCGCAGAACTAACGGTTATTATATTTAATTTATAACGCTATATGATTATACGAAGGTTGTAATAGTCAATGTGGTGTATTTTTTGCATAGCCAAATTAATTGCAGAACACGTAATCTAAGAGAGGGGTGAATACCTTAACCTTCTAAATAAGTTGCTAATGCATAAGTTATCACTTCTGTATGCATGCGACACAACGAGACCGCAACGTTCCACGTCTTGTTCTTTGCCTATCGCATGGTAATGAAAACGGGACAACGTATGAAATTCTTTTCAGGCGTGTGTTTCCTAACTTATATAATATATCTTTCATAAATGCAATCTAATTTATATCGTAGTGAATATGACTCCTTGGTTTTGTCATAAATGGTAATAAATTAGGCAACATTTTGGTCAAAAGCTTTTAAAATTTATATAAATAAAAAAAAATCAGATTTGCAATTTTAAATAAAAAATTTTTTTTAGCACACTTGTGAGTATTCTCCCGATATCATCACACGCTCGTTTCTTTTATTAATAACATGTTTTCTTTCATATTCTTACTTGTATCAAATGAGTATTAAACGTCTAACACATCATCATCATCATTTCAGCCGTAACTGTCCTTTGCTGAACATAAATAAGTTTTCCTTATAATGGGAGTTTTGTCAGTTACCAGTTGTCAGTTGCCACGCTTGACAGGCGGGTTGGCAACCGAAGTTTGACTTTTAGAGATGTTTTAAGAAGGTTTAAGAGTTTTAAGTGTCTAACATATATTTAATTTTAATAAATTTATCTAGTTTCACATCTTTTCTGGTGTATTTTTGATTCTTACTATATATGTATGTAAAAAAAGTTTTATTGTTTGTAACGTCTTGACGCTTTAATTGTTTAACCAATCATCATAAAATTTAGTACACTTATAATATAATATTTTGGATAATTATAGGCTACTTTTATTCTCACCAATCAACTCGGCCACACGGCACGTGGATGAAGTTGCGGGTAAAAAGTAGTGTAAAATATAGAGAAAATATTATACTGACTGTCTGTGAGATGGTTGAAGGCCGTGATGTCATCGTTGAGCCGGCCCTGCATGCGACGAAGCTTGGTGCTCAGATCTCGAGTATGGAGGAACAGGAACAAGGTACATGACACCGCCACGAGCGCCACCAACTCACTAGTCCTGTAATGAAAATCACAGGCTAAATTAGGTACTAATTAAAAATTTATACAATCCGACGTTTATAGTATATATTTAGATATATTATGTAATATACATATAATGTAGATAACATATTTACCTATATAAATCTTAAAATTGCATCATGTTCGTGATTGCTAAATAAATAAATTGCTGAACTCCTAAACCGATCAATCTTGGTTATAATTTGTTATGTGTGCCTTATTAAAATAAATAAATAAAAATCTATTTTAATGAATTTTGTAAATGTATATACTTTTTGTTTAGACATGAGAAATGGGATAATTTTTATGTTAATAACAAAAAATTTACTCAGTAGGCGACGGCGATGCGACATTTATGTACATACAAGCGAACAATAAGTGTCTGTTTGTATGTATGTACATAAATTAGTAACAGAATAAATACTAAAAGTTACTTATAAATGGTGATGATATAGTTAAAAAAATTATAATAAATAAATGACAGCTCCCAGTGAGAATCGCGTGAAGCTTGACCTAATAGGATATATTGCAATGTCTATATGACTAAGAATTCCTTCCCCCGGTTTTAACAGCATGCAAACAGCTCTTGTTTTATGTTACAATGAAATAGTAACCCTGAATGCGCTATCGATTGGTATTCCTATTGCTATTCCTCATTGGTGGAGCACCAGTGAGGAATAACAATATATTATATTATAAAAGGTGAGAATACAAAGGCAGGTCTGATAGCCTATTGTGATGAATATGTCTGGAATTCAGCATGATGGTTGCCAAAAGGAATCACATGAAGGTTTATCTAACAAGGTACACTCTGTTTTATATTGGGTTCTGCTTTAAAGGGTGAAATATAATAACGCAACAATACATACTCTTGAATAAATTCGATTCTGGGTCGATTCTTCATCGATTCGTACTGCCCACCTATGGAAAGTGGTAAGCGCGCGTCGCCTTTAGACAGAAACAATATCAATTCCATTGCCATATTCCATTCTTCCGCCGTGCTATTTAGTCGTATGGTCTTAACATAAAATGGGCCACGTCTTAATTTCTCATCAATGTCGTAAGAGGCGACTAACGAGATTTAATGGTCGAGGGATGGGCAGCAGCGTCCCTCTTAAAACATCACCAAAGCCTAACCGCGAATACCAACGCACTTGCCAAGCGTGGCAATTACTGGCAAAACTCCTCCAAGGAGGAGGCCTATATACAGCAGTGAATAGTTATGACTGATACGGTGAAGATATGATGAATCCATTCTTCAAACGGAAACATAGTCATGCAAGCACAGCAATAAATTTATTCATTCAAATCGCGTATTAGATTTTTTCATTGAGGAAAAACGAAATAGTGACGTATTAATTAACCCAATTCCTTTGGCAACCTTGTCTACTGTCTTGTCACGCGACTCAACAGGACAGCGTGATAAATGTTATTATGTCGGATCTGTTTAAGTAAGAACGTTTAATTTTATTAAAATATTGGAAATAGCAAGAACTCTGACCTCAAAACTGTCTTATATTGGATCACCATCATACCAGCTGTTAAAATAATACTGCCTTCCCCATAGGGGAGGGGGAGAGGTGCCAGTACCACGCTCGGCAGGCGCGTTGGCAACCAGAGTTAGGCATTTAATGTTATTTTAAATTTTTAGAGGGACGTTGCTGCCCATCCCTCGATCATTAATTTCCCTAAGTTCTTACGATACCCATGGGAAAGGAAGAAGGGACCACACGGCGGATACTACATTTCATTTAAGATATCTACATCATAAATATTACAAACATCTTCTGTACAAAATTTCGTCGCAGATTTCCAGATATCATATTTATTAACTTAACTAAAAAAACTAGCAACCTAACCCGGCTTCGCACAGGAATAATTTATACATTCAAGCCTTCCACGAAACTCGTAACAAAATCTGAAAATCTGTTGCATTAAAACATGCAAAAGTAAGTTGAAAAATAGACAGACGTGGACTGTGACTTTTTTGTTCTATTTACAGATGTAGGTATATAAAATTCTTTCAAAAGCTGTGAACCAAAGAGGATGTAATACCAAGTCTAGATACACGGCCTGAATAAAGACCTTGGACTCCATACACTAATGTAATAGCTAAGTAAAACTAACGGATGGTTAATTCACATTACACCATTAACATTTTTGCTCATCTGATTTGCAAATAACACTGAAATGCACACCTGTGCCGTGCTTTTGCGTTACGCATAACAAACAATTCGACCTTGCCGATTGCATATTACCTAACGATATGGGACTCAACAATGGTAACATGTTTAGAATACCTACCATGGGTTTTTAATATATTCTGAAATATTCATGTATATGGTATTCTTCATAAATCAGTGTCTACTATCTCCAATCAAATGGGCATTAGTGTGTTTGCCATTTTAAACTATATAAAAAATAACGTTTTTTGTATGTAAATCGGCTGACTAAGCCATTGATTGTTTTATCACAAAAAGTTAAACTTACAATAGACAGATGTTCAATACATGATTAGACGTCTCATTAAGAAATCATTTTTAATATTTATCAATATCTAAACAAATGAAAGTCTGTCTTATTAAAAACAAAAAGGTAGGTATATAAAGATATATATTTTATTACAATAGTTTATAATATAGACTTTAGCACATAAAATTATAAATACATTATAATACCGACTAAACAACGCTTAACTACTTAACTACAGTTTTGTTAAACATTGTTCAGAAAATCTGTGTTTTTTAAATTATTTTTGTGGTAAGACCCCAACTAATCAAGCAAAACAGACACACAAGTCTGTAACAATATTTTAAAGAATATAAAATCTTAGTTTTTGTCAAGTTTTTCCTTTTGTATTTAAATTCGGAAGGCAATAGAATAGAAAAATAATATACTCATCATCTCAACCATTATCTACGACTGCTGACCATAGGCCTCCCCCATAGACTGCCATAAAGAACGGTCCTAAGTCACCTGCATCCGCCAACTTCCTACATTGCATTTGAGGTCCTCTAGTGAGGGGTCGTTCTACACTGTGTTTGCTCGTACGGGGTCGCCATTCGAAAACCTTTATATATAATAATATAATATACTTATTACCGCCTAAAACAACACAAAAAATATATAATATAGTTTATCTAAACAATGTTTAACAAAACTGTAACTAGAACACCTATGTTTTGATACCCAAAACAGAATAGCTGTGAACGCAAAAGCGACAAAAACAATCGATCACTCACCTACAGTAATTGTTTTCGTATTACGTATAGTTATTTTATAATAAAATCATGGCGTTTATATGAAATAATCTAAGTGGCATTTAAGTCATTTCGTTGCATCCAGCCTTAAAACTACAGTTTAAAAAATAAATGAAATAAATTATTATTACATTTCTTTTTTGAGCATATGCTCTTTGCCCAATTGCCCATTGTTATTGCTATTACCCATTTAATATAACGATGTAATAAAACTAGCATTTGATTCCACAACATAGGAATGGGCAAATTTTTTCCTATTGCTCGGATTAAATAGGTTTGGAAACGGTGTTTATTCAGAAACTTAAATGAAAACAATTTTTTATATCGTGACTTTGGTTTTTTTAATACCATTTACTAAATGTTATTTAGTCGATGTCACATCCTGTTTTGTTATTTGAAGGTTTTAATGAAAAACCCAGAATTTGGCAGACACGTATTCAAGAGTCTGAAACAAATAAGTCTATGAACTTATGGATGAAACTAATTTTAACTATATGGATATACCTATATAAAATAAAAAACTGACTACTATATCCAGTTAATAAAGCATATAATTATTTTTAGTGACTTTGATATGATGCTCTTTGATTAAATGACATTAAAGATAATAATAGTATATTACTGCAGCGGCCAGCAACTGAGGCATTGATGGACGAACGTGCAAATGTGGGCCGAGACGTAGCCGAGGCACGTGAGTCCATCAATGCCTAGTTGTGACCAAGGCTTATATAGTAGTTTTCTCAAACAATGCGCGGAAATCAAAAACACAAATTTACTTTTTATGTTCAATGACAAATAACGAACAATAATAATTTTTCACGCGCCATAATGTTTCTTTTTTTTTTTAATAAACAGCTTTATATTTGCAAGCCAGTTCGAAATTTAAATAAAACTTTTTATTAGTTACCTCCTTGGTAGCCATGTTTCGAAGTAAAAGATCATTCCATTTTTAAATTACAGGACAGATATGAGTTTATATAGTAATTTATCTGGCCGCAAAACACGACCGATATGGATTTTCAACTTTTGCCGGCCGCTGCCCGCATGTATCTGGCCAGTATGGCAATTTTGATTTATCTTGAAGAAGATTTTCAAAATAATGCTCACATTTCCAAGAATGTTTGAGAAAAAAATTAGGAATATAGCCACTGCATTGTAATGAATATTTTTACAAACACTTCGCCAAACACAACCCACAACTTTTTTATTTTTAACCGAATATGTACGAATAAATAGACTATGAATACACATACGGGTTTCGTATAATCGTGAATAGAAATACTAAAATATATAATTATTACTTACAACGCCGAAAATCGGAGTGCATTGTTTATTTGAAAAAAAGTCACGCACAATTAGTACGGTTAATTAGTACGCGACATAGTATCTAGATGAAAATGATTTATCATAACTGTAATTTTATAATTTAAAGTAATTGATAAGTATTCCGCTAATGTAGAACATTAACTACTTACTGTTAAAAGTAGAGATTAACTGTCGGCGCATTTCTGTAGAAGTATTTTGAAACAATTATATTTGAAGCTTTTGATTTATTTCATGCAATCGAAAATATTTAATCGCTAAAGATAAACAACATCGTTAGATTTAAATATTTTTGCACTATTGGGCTAAATTTAACTTAAAGAATGTTAACTTTATCTGAATAACGTAACGTAATGGCGTGGAACCGTCTTTACTGCCCATAAAGTGTTACGCCCAATATTACGTAAATATATAC